AGATATGTAGGCGTGTTTGCATTAATGCGGAAACAAATGAATTTTGCAAACATCTTTCAGATGAAAGAGCACCCGGTTGAGCTACCCCCTCCCCCTCTCCCTCGCCACTCACACTCGTTCAGAATATAAGATATTAGAATAAATGAAGAGAAGTTTATACGTATTAGGTGTATTATACAAGGTATCATGGAGCAATGGGGTTAATACAATTCCCATAACCAGTAGATATGGTATTACTTGGGATGTTATTAAAGGGCAGTATCAGCCCATAGACTATGTGCAAGCATGACACACGGATTCTTGAAAGGACGAAAGAAAGAAATATTTTGCGACCTGAGATTCATGCTTTAGTACAGATCTGTGGCTTAAGCCTGGAGACCAGTCAGCAGATCCACAGAATTCAGTGAATGGCTCACAGAGTCCTGTGGCTTTGGGGATTATTATGAGCCCTCCATTATTCGCTGCGAATTACTGATCTTGCTCAAGACACACCGGAGAAGAGTGGCAGCCAATCCCTTTGTCCAAGTTGTTGCTGATGAGACGCAAATACACCTCACCCCCACCCCACTCTTTACCGAATCACAGAGCAGTGTCATCCCAAAGGGGCTATATTACCATAACTTCGTTCAGCTTTCACATATAACATTATGCGTTCAGCACAGCACAGTGGATACTGGATATCTGTATTCCATTGAGTAAAATATAATGTAATTCTGAGTAATTATTTTTCTCAGGCTGCCATATGGCAGATAACTCTATTGCCAAGATGAAATTATGTTTGGCATCTGGCAGACTGCAGGCTGGCCGATTTGATGGACTGTAGGTTGGACAGAGTCCAGCAGAACTTAGGCTGAATGTAAATTACAAAGGAAGAGGAGCAAGCGACCCCTCTTGGTCGTTAACTGTTGGAAAGAGAGTATACAGTTTACGGACAGAGAATAGCCCAGTCTGATAGCTTGGTTCTGCAGACGACGTCTTTTATAAAGAATAAATCGAGGAAATGGTGGAGGGAAGGCTCCACGCCTAAACATCGTGATAGGTGAGGCCTGGCGTCGGTTTTGACACTTGCGTCGCCCGGATGCTGGTCTTTCCTGGCGTGGCTGATTATACATATGTAGATATGTGAGTTCATAAGGATTAAATGTGAACTAAAAATGAATGAGTATTATTAAATCTGTAATATACAGATAGTGTTATTTGTGTGATAGCATTGGATGATTGAATAGATGTGGAGTGCTAGCAATATATAAATATGCTACTTATAGCAAGACGACTGTTGCTACTGAAATAACAATTCACAAACACTACTACAGTAAGCATCTTGGACCTATGTGAGGTGAACCTTACACAAACTCGAATAACATGTATCACATAAAACAATAAAATACTTAAATGGAAATGCCCATATGTTACTGAGCATTTCTTCACTACATATGATATATATTGCAAGAGTATGTCACCAATATAATGTTGCAGTGAGTTCATGTTCCTCTATAAATAGCACTGTTCTTGTGAGTCCAGTTAAAGTTGTTAAAGATTCTAAACTTTATTAACACGGAAGTGGGGTAGCAATAGTAGAGAGAACAGGCCTGGCAGAGACGTCCAGGCAGGAGCGTGTTGCCATGTCAGTGAGGACGAGCAGTCTGTGTGAGCTTGAGGTGTTGACCGAGCCGATGCTGAGTTTTTGAGGTGATCACAGGTCGTTTTGTACAATAAGGTTAGAAAATGTCACTAAACTTAAGAAGATGGAAAACATTAATCTTTAGTAGGAATGTCAGTGTAGACTCTATTTTATGGCACTCATAGGCTCCTCCTCATATGATTTGGGCAGGCATTTTCTAACAAACATTTTGAGTTAATAAAGATGTAAATTTAAATATAGTTATAAAGGCGAAAATCACGGTAGGGGTAGGGACTTGTACTGGAGACATGTTATTGTCGTTCTGTTCTGGGTGTAGGTCAAAGTTGGCACAGGTGATAGCCAGTAGTGTGCTATGTACTGTGGGAAGACGAGGGTGAGTAGAGGGGAGAGTGAAAGAGAAAGAGAAACAAAGGTTACTGAAATGTTCATGGTAGCAATGGTAGCAATCACTATTTTATTGAATCGGTGAAACATCTGCTAATAGTTTGTATTCTAATGTTTCAGTTCTGAGGGAATCAGCATGAAAACTCATCCAGTCCGCTAAATCACTTCCCTTAGGATCAGGACGTGAAAGTGGTGTATTTCATATGACACTGTAGACAAGGGAGTGCCTTGCCTTTAATAACGAAGTTCAGCCTGCAAAAGGGAGCAGATGCCGGAGGACTGGAAAAAGGAGAAGCAGCAGCAGGTCCTGGAAGCGTGGGGCAAGGAGGTGGACGCCAGTAGGATGGCCTCCGAAGAGGCGATGGAGCTCCAGCCGAAGGGGAAGGACGCCCCTGCGCTCGAAAGGGGGGAGGACGGCTCCGACCGCTGCTGCTGCCGCTCGCCCTGCGGGGAGTGCTTGGGGATCTTCCTCAAGTAAGTGCCCTGAGGAGAAGGAAGTGCTCCAGTCTTGATCTTTATCATAGAGAGAGAACTGTGTTTGCCATTCACAGTATTATTTTGTATTTTGTAGAATTCCTTTTATCTTTTATTAGATTTCGTAATTTACACGGACAGATAATATCTAGACCTGCCGTCAGTACAAAAGAAATCGCCGTCGATCTCAAGATCAAGGGAGCAAGGTAATCATCACCATCTGATGTTTATACAAACAGGTTTTAGATATAGATATAGACTATCAGTTAAAGAAATGTCTGGTTTAAATGCCCATGTGTGATGGCATTACCATTATCTTAATTAATTTCTTTACCTGAAACATCTAAGACTAATGATAACTCCTCGCTTTGCTCTGAATATATATGGTGATTATTCTCAAACTTACCAGATCCAACGAGGAGCCAACACCACACTAGCCTCCTTTTTACGTGACATCACCCCTGGCTTCGCGATGTTCGTCGGCCGAAAACCGACAAACGTTTTGTATCCATCGATTGCATCCGAAAGTGGTGGCGAAAATTACCTTAGAATGTTATAGATAGTATTTGTAACGTGAAAGCAAAGGCAAATATATAGATAGTTTTTCTTACTTTCGGAACTATTGAACATTCGGAAGATTTGGCAGAACTCACTGAACTCTTGATTAAGCAATGTTGCTGTATGCCTACGATAAGTCTCTTAGTAGCCAGTAGACAGCATTCTCTGCCTTCTGGATTAGGCACGTCTAGCAACACATGAAGACCCTAGTAGTAGCAATAATGTTAAGTATATTGATGTACCCTGCTTCTATTTACATCCGCGAACTCATCAAGGTCTTGGGACATTCTATCTCACTGTATCTCTGGATGTAAAGCCTAGACAGTGCAATATCCCCTTCAGCAGATAACGTTCAGGGTCGCTGTTCACTAATGGACATAAAACTCCGAAATTTGCCTTTGAAAAAAAAAACCTCTTTGACTCCTCGCGAAAATCTCTTTGACACCCGATTTTTGTCAATAATTCGGCCGAAGTTAAAGCCAGGTCTAGAGTTGTCCCATGCGTGTAAGGACGGCCTTTAAATTGCCCTTATGAGACGCCGAAAACTGTAGCGCAATTTTACAATTGTTGGAGACATCTCCGCATCCGCTCCTCTGCCATATATATATGTGTGTGTGTGTATCTTATCTACGGTATACTCAACTCCATGCGTGTGTGCATGTGTGTGTATGCATTCATACATAAACACATTATGCGTGTGTGCATGTGTGTACGTACATCCATACACATATACATTCATACATATATATATATATATATATATATATATATATATATATATATATATATATATATATGTGTGTGTGTGTGTGTGTGTGTGTGTGTGTGTGTGTGTGCGTGTATGTGTGTGTGTGTGTGTGTGTGTGTGTGTGTGTGTGTGTGTGTGTGTGTGTGTGTGTGTGTATGTATATATATATATATATATATATATGCATCTGTGTGTCTGTATAAATATGTATGTATGGATGCGCGCGTGCACACACACACACACACACACAAAAACACACACACACACACACACACACACACACACACACACACACACACACACACACACACACACACACACACACACACATATATATATATAAATATATGTATGAATGTATATGTGTATGGATGTACGTACACACATGCACACACGCATAATGTGTTTATGTATGAATGCATACACACACATGCACACACGCATGGAGTTGAGTATACGGTAGATAAGATAGTGGTGCCCGACTGCTGCCTTATATTTCAGTTTGTGCAAGGTCAAAGGCTATGGGAATTCACTATATACAAAATAACTTCACTCTAGCATGCAACCTCGTTCTGGCAACTCCTGCGACGTCATTGGTGCCAAACTGTACCGGTTTTTGCCGTTCCTTTGGACCCATCAGCTGCGTGGAGAGAGGGAGCTTCTGCATGGGCGACAGCTTGCTCCTCACATTCTTTCGCCCAGGCACTGACTCTACCTAAACGAGAGTGGGTAAAGACAATAATACCAAAGTCGACATCGACTGACAGTGGCCACACACACACACACACACACACACACACACACACACACACACACACACACACACACACACACACACACACACACACACACATATACATACGCACACACACACACACACACACACACACACACACACACACACACACACACACACACACACACACACATACGCTCACACACACACATACGCACACACACACACACATATATACATATATATATACATATGTGTATGTATATGCATGTATATGTATGTATATATGTATATATATGTATATATATGTATACATATACATATATACATATACATATATACATAGACATACATATACATACATATATGTATGTATATATATGTATATATATATACATATACGATAGCTCAGTGGTTAGAGCACTTGACTCCGACCCTCGTGTTCCCGGGTCAATTCCCCGTCGCGGCAGTCGTAAATATGCCTACATTCTGACTGCTAGCTCGGGCCCGAGAAAACGTCATATCGGCTTGAGAAGTCAAACGCAGGTGTCGTAGGGGAAGTCACCGCCGTGGCACAAGTGCTAGCGCGCCGAACCGCGGTTGATTAGGAAGGGCATTCAATCAGGCAAGGGTGATACTGCCATATAACCTCTCAATACTAAATTGAGAGAGGCCTATGTCCTGCAGTGGAATGAATGGCTGTTGAAAAAAATATATATATACATATATACATATGTGTATATATACATATATATATATACATATATGTATGTATATACATGTGTATATATATATATATTTACACACACACATATATATATATATATATATATATATATATATATATATATATATATATATATATATATATTGCACTTGGTTTGTTATTATTACTGTGTGTGTGGTACCAGTAATAATAATAAACCAAACGCAACCATATCTAAAACAAGATGAAAGTGAACACGACTTGTTTGATACGGATATAAATGGAATTTTACTTTGAAGATTTGCCTCTCGAAAGCAAATATGAAAGAGAGAGAGAGAGACAGGCAGAGAAAGAGAAAGAGAGATGGTGGAATATAGGTTACTGGTTGTTTATCTAAACAAAAAACACATTAAACTTGATCATCATTGAATAACATCATCAATAAATGATGGCAAATGAAGAAATATAAGAAAAGCCACCGCTAAGGTAAGTGAAAAAATAAGATCAGAAATGCAAAGAGAGAGAGAGAGATAATCGTCCAGAATAACAGCAATTTCCAGTTCCATCTGTTGAGTAATGGATTTCTCGGAGCTGAAATTTAATTAGATTTCTCAGCAATTATGACAACCCAATTAGCCTGTGAGCACCTTGTCGTCCGTAGTTGATATTCATTGCTCTGTTCTGAATGACAATGATTATGTATTTCTCTCGCTCATCTTTATTTTTCTTCTCTCGTTCATTCTCCTCTTTTGGTTTCCTCTGCTCCTCCCCGAACATCGCCCAAGAAAGTTCAACCTTTTGCTTTTATCGCGATAACTTTGTAAAGTCAAATTGCTTGGGTGATTTTTTTTCTTCCTCTTTTTGTCAGCAACTTTTTGTAGGCACAGTTTTATAACCGTAAGTGTTTCATCGAAGGTTATTATTTTCTTATTGACTAAACTGAAATATTAATCATCTACAAAGGGGCAGATCATCAATATTTCATCACCACGATAGGGAACAAGAGAAACGTTTTCTCCTCCTCCTCCTCCTCCTCCTCCTCCTCCTCCTCCTCCTCCATCTCCTCCTCCTCCTCCATCTCCTCCTCCTCCTCCATCTCCTCCTCCTCCTCCATCTCCTCCTCCTCCTCCATCTCCTCCTCCTCTTCTATCTCCTCCTCCTCCTCCTCCTCCATCTCCTCCTCCTCCTCCTCCATCTCCTCCTCCTCCTCCATCTACTCCTCCTCCTCCATCTCCTCCTCCTCCATCTCCTCCTCCTCCTCCATCTCCTCCTCCTCCTCCATCTCCTCCTCCTCCTCCTCCATCTCCTCCTCCTCCTCCATCTCCTCCTCCTCCATCTCCTCCTCCTCCTCCATCTCCTCCTCCTTCTCCATCTCCTCCTCCTCCTCCTCCTCCTCCTCCTCCTCCTCCTCCTCCTCCTCCTCCTCCTCCTCCTCCTCCTCCTCCTCCTCCTCCTCCTCCTCCTTCTCCTCCATCTCCCTCTCCTCCATCTCCTTCTCCTCCATCTCCTTCTCCTCCATCTCCTTCTCCTCCATCTCCTCCTCCTCCATCTCCTCCTCCTCCATCTCCTCCTCCTCCTCTTCCTTCTCCATCTCCTCTTCCTTCTCCATCTCCTCTTCCTTCTCCATCTCCTCCTCCTCCTCCACCTCCACCTCTTCCTCTTCATATTCCTTCTCCTCCTCCTCCTCCAGTTCCTCCTTCTCCTTCCTCCCCCTCCTCCTCCTCCTCCTCCTCCTCCTCCTCCTCCTCCTCCTCCTCCTCCTCCTTGTTCTTCTTTTCTCTCTTCTTCTTTTTCTCCTCCTCCTCCACCTCCACCTCCACCTTCACTTCTTGCTCTTCATATTCCTCCTCCTTCACGTCCTCGTTCTTTGTTGGGCCTTCCTAAATGAATGTCAAAATGCGGATCTTCACAGCAGTTTGAATTGTATAAAAGAGTCGTCTTAAGTTCTTTCCATCACAGGAAATGTCCGCATAGTAAATTATGTTGACGTTGCAGCTCTGAATACTTGCTCAGGCGAATAAACACGCGGTCGATATGCTTGTGCTCAAAGTATACAAGAGTTTCGTTTATACTGTGAGCGAAGGCTTACCTCTGTGTGTGTGTGTGTATGCTTGCGTGCGTGCTTGCGCGCGTGTAATGAATCGTGTGTGTGTGTGTGTGTGTGTGTGTGTGTGTGTGTGTGTGTGTGTGTGTGTGTGTGTGTGTGTGCATGTGTATGTGTATATGTGTGTGTTCACGCGCGTGCGTGTGTG